TTTTTTTTAAAAAAAAAATCTGAACAATAAAGTAATCTATAAGGCAATATGTGGTAATTCAAAGGAATGTGAAAGAGGTATGTTTCTGCCCTTTAATCTAATACAGATCTCTATTTGTTTTCTTGGTTAATGGACTGGAGATAATTTTTTGATTACAGATTCTAATTTAAACTTATTTTTCGGATGTGAAAGCAGAGCTGTGTACCCACCGTTTCCTTAAAGGGACTGATTTTAATGTTTTCAAAATCATCTCATTTTCTGCCATTAGGGTACATCCCATTTATGAGTCTGGAATGAAAAACAAGGGAGCAGCAACGGGTCTCACATTCTCATTGTTTCTTCTAGTGAATACAACTGAACCTTTTTGTTCTGTTGGGACATAACTAACTTAAAATGCTCTGTGAAATCTTTTTGTAGGCCTAAAAACAAAACATATCTGTGTGTGTGTGTGTGTGTGTGTGTGTGTATACACATACATATATACATACACACACACACACACACACACTTACATATCTTCCCCTGAAATGGAGAAGAGCACCTTCCCTGTAGTCGGCAATAATCAGCGGAGTAAAATCCACAAGGACTCCTCTCCTATATAGAACAATATAGCTACTGTATCTTCAGATCAAGAGGGATCTGCTGATCAAGAGGGATGGAAATAAATAGTATTCTTACAAGCATTTTTAGGTTAAAACAACTTAATACAGTAACCACCAAATAAGCTCTTGCATCTGGCTGCTCTACAGGAAGCCCCAAGTTATCCACCCACACATTATGGAGACAGCAGCTAAGACAACAGATTTAATAATAATCGTTCACAGCCAACTAATATTATATGCTTGCTTTTTTTAAATGCAGCTGTAGCTTTTTTTCAGCTTTGTACAAATTATCTGGGAAATATTGCTTCCTATTAGATTTTAACACTCAACACTGGATTTTGTGAGCCAAGGTAAGCTGAAAAACCATAGACAAGGACAATTAGTAAACATAAATCCAATTTGGATAACATAAATTCCAATGCACTAATAACCATCCACAGAGAGAGACTCTGGACACTGCGACATTTAAAGCAAGCAATAAAGCAGCACAGATTCAAAGCCACATGTGATACTTACCAGCTTCTCGAGTCCCACTGCGGCTTGTTGGCTTGGCAGGTGGGGCAGAGGTCTGCTTGGAAGGAGACGTGCCCTTTTTTTTAGCATGTGACACTTCGTTAGTTTTATGGCTAGTTGTAGCAGCAGCAGCGTTTTTTGGAGGAATGGCTGTTTTTTTAGCTTTAGGCTTAGGTTTAGGAGGAGGTGCTGGTAGAGGAGGAAGAAGAGGAGAAACAGATACAGCTGATGTTTCAAGGCCTTTAGGAAGAGGCTTATCTACAAATAAGAAAGTGAACACAAGCAACTGACAAACGGACAACAAGGATGAACTAGACAAGGAAACAGATTTCTTCTTCCTGCTGCTCTACTTTCTTGAAAATAAGGACTGCTTTTGTTTTAAAGAAACAGAATTGTCTCCAACCGTCTGGTGCAGATTTCAACAGAATGTTTAGAACGGCTCTCAAAATGCAGAATCAAAAAGATACTTTTTTTAAACAAAAATAATCCTTCCTTCAATGAAGGGAGATCAAATCTACTAACAGTTTGGGGAAGTAGCCACTATTTTAAAAGATGTTTTCTAAGCTATCCTAACTCAATTTCGCAACATCTGGTCACCAACCTGAGAAAGATGAACAACATTCTCATTAGAAACAATTAGTAGGTGAAGACAAGCATATACAGCTGGGATGGCAAACCTGTGGCACGCGGAGCCATTTGTCAGGGCACGTGAAGCGTTGCCCTGTCAGCTGGCCAGCGTGCATGTGCGTGCTGGCAAGTTGAGTTCAGCCTTTTTTAAAGCCATTTTTCACTCTCCCCAGGCTCCAGAGGCTTTATAGGAGCCTGGGGAGGGCAAAAGAGAGCATGCAAAAAATGGGGGGGAGCGCCTTTCAA